CGTTTATGAGGAAACAAGACGGGTGTGTTCCATTATTTTTTGGGTACAAAGTTTTACGTGAACCGGATTATATATAACAGGAAAGCGGGGGGGGGGGGGGGGGAGAAAGAAGTCAAGGTCATGAAGGGAGCGAAGCATTTACCGTGCACCTAGCTCAAGGGGCCCCCGAAACTAAGCACCCGGTTACCATGTACGTAGATACTTGGACTACATGCCCGGTTACCATGTACGTAGATTGAAATGATCAGAACTAGATACATCTAAATCTAGGCTCTCTGGTATTGAAGAGGCCACATGCGAATTGGTTAACACTTTGTCTCACACACACAATCAGTTCCAGTTCACACAGTCACACCGTAGAGCCATCAAATTGGATTAGGCTAAGTATCTCAACTTTCTGACTCTGCCCTCTGCACAAGCCACGTCACAATCACAAACAAGTCATTTCCCACTAGATCTAGATCTAGACAGAAAGAATGAAGTGATTATTTCTCAGAACGTTCGGGAAAATAAACTTGAACTCTATTTCTCCAAACGGTTTCCGTTCTCGAGATTTTTTGTTATTTGCAAGATTTAGGTGTCATCTTTCATTCTGCGAGGACTGGGAAGGAACATTTTTTGCATCGAATTGAATTTTTAGAGCTAGAGATTTTTAAATGTCGGAATATTCAGATACCGGTTCTTCAGTTGTGGTTGGGGCAACGTTCCCGAGCTACTAGATCTAGCAATGACAATGAAAAATTAAATTTTTATCCAAATTTCTTAAAAATGGGCTTTCATATTAAATGAAAATAGAGTAAAGTGTAAGAACTATGGTTTTAAAATTTAAAAATCCATTGATAAAAATAAAAAAGTAAAAACTTGGGGGACTAAAAATAAAAAAGTAAAAACTTGGGGGACTATACCAAAATGTGGGACATGTCTTGGTGTATTTTGAGGAAAAACTGTTCATAAATAAGTCAAGTTTGTAATGAATTGGAGTATTGAATGAAACTTGGTATCTTGATGTGATTTTTTGTGCAGAATCTAGTTCTGCTATCACTTTTCCGATGTCTTTATTACTTTGGACCTTAAAGACTAATATTTGCGTGAAATTGGTTGAATTGCGTGACATCATTTTTACCGCGACGCAATCACCCCTTCTAAAACTAAAACTCACCCGCAATGAAGTCACCAGCAGAGATGCCAACCACAGAAAACCGAAATGAGTATTGGGAAATATGAAAATGTGTATTTTCTGGGGAAAATGTGTATTCCCCATGACCGACCAACTAGTATAAGTAAAATGTTCAGGGTGTCCAGCAATATTTCCTGAAAAAAAATTACTAGCTCACCTGCACGAAAAAAGGAGCACACACGCGTACAAATGTATGTATCCAGTCAACAACATGTCAGTGTTCAGTGTCATACTGGGGTCTTGTTTGACTTCAGTATTTCAGTCTATTATATAATATTTTCCTCTCATTATTTCATGTAAAAAATAAATCCTGCTTTGAGAGTTCGGAACGGCCTAAAACAAAAATTTCGACTATCAAGAACCTTTCTGGGTGTCATGATTCATATTATGAACTGACAGACTCAAATTATTGCTCAAACTCAGAGAAAAACGATAATTTGAGAAAAGCAATAATAACTTGAATGGCTCAAGTAGACCCATGCACTGTGAGAGTTGTAACAACTGTGGTAGGGCAAGATGCAGTGACACACTGAAAATCTACCAGTCTTGAACAGAAAGCTACAACATACACTGTAGGTATAATTTACTGTCACCCATCCAATAAAACGCGAACACATTATTTCAATAACACAGACTTGCAAAGTATGAAGGGTCCCCAATTCCGCACACGGCCTGCACCAACGCGCGCTTTGCAGAAAGCTCTAATCAAAATTCTGAAATGTGCTTCCAAGTTTTTATCCTCTGGTGTTGCCTTCACACCCTCCACCATAGTATCTTAAACCCCCCAAAAAATCAATATAATCTCCTCCCCTATGCCGTAGTCCTATACTTCGCAAGGCATTTATTTATGATGCGAATGCGCGCAGGTTCAGTGACCGGTCGTGATGGCGAGCCCGACAAGCTAAAAATCGGACGACGCTTGTATTTTCTTTTCTTTTCTTTCCACAAGTGAGAGCACAGAGGCGAGTCCGAGCATTGATTAAATTTTATTTGCACGGCGACATTGCATTTATACTGCACAACCTGCATGTCACAAATGTTGCATTATCAGACAAATGCTGGCAAACTACTCGGTGGTAGGCCTAACGAAAGCGAAAGTAGATCTTGATTTTCCCGATCGAGCCTCGGTGTCACATACGCTTCCGCCTGCCGCCATAGCTGCCTATTCGCGTGAAAGTGAAACTTACTCTCCGGACTGGGAAAAGCTGAACGAATATAATATCACGATCGCGACCGGCAAAAATGAACTTACTGACCTTATCGGACTTGGTTTTCAAATATTCCAGTTCTGCGACACTGGTACAATTTTGACAAAAGATGGGACTTGAGATAATTATGTTTACTCGCCCAAGCTGAATCTCGTATTTTTCGCATTCCAGGATGCGTATTTTTTCATGAAAAGTCGTATTTGCGTATTTTCGGAAAAAAATCGTACTGTAAAACCGTACTGGTTGGCATCTCTGCATCAGTGACTTATTTAGTTATAGGCAACAAATCTTTTTCTTCTTCTTCGTTCTCGATAGGCAGCCAATCACATGCCGCCTAGCGATCACGCGTCCCTTGCATCCCGGCACCTCACATTTGGAATGTGAGATCCAGTTTCCAGCTCTAGTGTTATATCAATGGAAGGGTGGTAATTTAAGTTGGTAGGTAAAATGCACTACACGCAGAGATCTGAAATTTTACAGCAATAAAGAAGACATGTGGGGCGCCTGTGCGGTCGGCGATCAACCCACAGCTCCGCTTAGACTTAGTTTTCGAACCACAGAGGAAATTCGCACATACACGGCAATTTCTCCGTTTCTAGAAATCATTCGGGATTGTACGCTGGCGTGTTGTTAGTTTAACCTTTCCTCCGATAGGTTGCCTAGTCTCATTTATTTTCGTCAACAAGTTTTCCCGTAACTATACTTAAAGAGAGTCACTTCTGATTCCGAGCGGCCCAAAAAATTACCCCTCGCGCTGAGGTCGATTTCCGGCTAAAGGCGCAGCAGGCGATTGGCATTGCTAACTAGATCTAGATCTATACTTCATTTGAAAAGGCCTTCAAAACGTACTGCGAGAAAACAAGTCTGACGACCCACCTTGGCAGTAACCTATTTTGCATTTAGATCTAGATCTAGATAGAATCTAGATATCTTTAGATCTAGTCACCCAGCAAAAACAAAATTCCTTCATGTAAAAAAAAAAAAAATTCATCCACGCCCGCCCCCACGCCCCTCTTCCTTCGTTCGTGTTACGGTGTGCAAGCAAGCAATACCCAGAATCGTGTCGTTTTCGCTTCGCGAGCTGCATGCGTTGGAAGTGGCTATTCTCATCCGGGGTGAGAATAGAAAAACGATCTACCTCTCACCCCGGGTGAGGCTTGCCAGCGTAGGCTATTCTCACCCGGTGCGAAACAAGACCTGCTTTTCCTCATTTTGGAATACTGTCTATCGGTGTGGATGATCAAATTGATAAAAGCCAAGAAAAAATTACGTTATAGCACAAAAGTAAGCTAATTTGATCGTCTTCAAAGATGCTCTATGGCTATTTCACTGTTCGAATCGAGCCGAACTACGCGGGTCGTCATTTTGTTTTGGCCGGAAGTTCTCGCAAGATCTACTCCTCCTCTCTCTCTCTCTCTTTCTGAATACTGTCTATCGGTGTGGATGATCAAATTGACCAAAACAAAGTTAAAAAATGATGTTAAAACACAAAAGTAAATTAATTTGGTAGTCTACAAAGATGCTACGGCTATTTAACTTTTCGAATCGAGCAGAACTACGCGGGTCGCCATTTTGTTTTGACCGGATGTTCTCGCGCTACTCCTCTCTCTCTTTCTCTCCACTGCCCACAGACAAAATTGAACGCTTTTAGTAGGCTACAGTTGTAATGGAACGTTTGTTCACGGCACAGAATTCTACAATTTTTCTGTTATCACAGTGTGTAGAATTCTGTGGTTTAGGGTGAACGCAAAATTTGTTGGCCTAGATCTAGATCTAGGCTATAACGGTGAACGCGCACCGGGTGAGAATAGCCAAAAGACTCGCCTGCACTATTCTCATCCCGGGTGAGAATAGAGGTGGCCGCATGCGTTATGCGCTTCTAATCTTTATTACACATTTGAATTGGAAGCAGATCTAGACTCCTGCATGGAAATGGTTTTTCTTGTTCTTCAACTGTCTGTCTGCTTCGGAAGTCCCTCTCACCTTACACACACACACACATGCACACTCACACACGCACCCACACACTCACCAACACACTCACACATGTACTCACTCACACACACGCACAATACATTGCTCCAACCCATCATTGAACAGATGAGCATCATCACCATCCCTCCTCTCTCATTCATGACATGATGGACAGACTCGTCTCCCTGTCCCCCAGGCTCATCTAATAATAATAACCTAGCCTAGATCTAGCCTTCCTAATGTCTTTGGAGTTACTATTATTACTATTATTACGTTCGATTTGCTATCATCACTCGGGAAAATATTATTAGCACGAGCTACATTCATAAAAAAGAAAAACAATGAAACAGTAGATTTAGATATATCTAGATCTAGATCTAGATCTAGACTACATCTAAATCTAGATCTAGTCTAGATCTGCCATGATTTAGATCTAGAGAATCTAGATTTAGATCTGAATCAAGACATGGTATTTTCACAGAGGACTGTCGCCATTTTGAATTGTTTTTGTCGTGATAAACAAAACAGTGGCCTCTGCTAAGACGTTATTATGGTCATGTTTGGCTTTTCGTTTCTGAAATGCAACATCACTCTTGTCAAAAGCATTGTAAACCTTATATTTATGTCGAATATGGCCTCACCTTCAGCGCACTGCCATATACAAAGTATAAGCATACAGAAGAAGAAAAGTCGAAGCATTGGATTATCCATTGTCTTTTACTACTCATAGTCGAGATTCCGACATGGGCTAAACATAAACCTTAACACGAAGTTCTTCTTCACCGGATGTGCATGCGCTTGACAGTCATTTCTCTTTTTTGATTGTATCCTTAATAATACATGAAACTAAGTAAAAATTAATTAAAATGTATGATTTATTCAAAACGTAAATCTCAAAATCAATATATTAAGGTTCTAATAGACGTATATTTAGATCTATTTTAACATATTTCCCTCTCCCACCATGAAGTGCGTAGTAATATGTCTAGGAAACATTCATGTAGGCCAAGAGCCTTGGCCTTGTGTTTTCCTCTTCCTGACTTCCTTCGTTCGTGTTGCGGTGTGCAAGAAAGCAATAGGCCTACCCAGAATCGTGTCGTTTTCGCTTCGCGAGCTGCATGCGTTATGCGCTTCTAATCTTATTACACAACACATTTGAATTGGAAGCAGATCTAGACTCCTGCATGGAAATGGTTTTTCTTGTTGTTCAACTGTCTGTCTGCTTCGGAACTCCCTCTCACTTCCACTCTTTTGACTTTTGTTGCAAAGCGCATAACTTTTATTTTTTCTTGACAAGATAACTACAGTAGAAACCATATAACAGGCCCGCTAATAACAGGGATCCGGTAATAACAGAGATGTTTAAAATCCCCGTTTCTTCCTACTATTTGTCTCTGTTAAAAGTTATCGGCAATAATAACAGGGTCTCATCGAGCCCAACCGGTAAAACCAGGGACAAAGGCTTGTTAACAATGTGTAAAAAGTAAGAGAAAGAGACAGAGGACGACCGGTCGGCCTAGATCTAAGCCTACTTCTTTCATTATGGTCACCAACGATGTCAAGCGCAAGAGAAAATGTCTTTCAATTGACAAAAAAATACGAAATAATCCAGACCGTTGACAAAAAGCAAGCTCCACTGGCAGAGATTTGTCGTCAGTTCGACATTTCACAAGGGCCGATTCCCACCATTATCAAGGATAGAGAGAAGATAGTGGCAGCATACTCCAAAGAAAAGTTTGATCTGGATTGAAAGAAGATGAAACTACCCGATGCAGATGTTGTGGATCAAGCTCTTCTGGTGTGGTTTAAGGACACAAGGAGAAAGTCGGTGCCAAACCCATGTTCGTGGGCACTTGTGGCCAGGGAAACTACCTATGAATAAGTACAACTAGATTAGTCCACAAATGCCCACTTTCCTTGCATTTCGGATTTAACAGTGATCGGATATAACAGGAGTTTTTCTAACTCCCACCTTCCCTGTTATATCAGGTTTCCACTGTATATGTACTAAATACATGACAGCTCTCTTTGTCATGCAAGCACAGCACACACTTTGTCTATATATATATTCTTTGTTGTTTTCTCTTCTTTTCATTCCTTCCATATTCCAAAGTAAGTAGGCCTATTGTTTTTGCGGTTGGCTTTTGTTCAGTGGTTGTTATAGTCTATCCATCCATCTGCTTTATTCGATTCTATTTTTGTTCCATCCAAATCACTGCATCGCAGTTACATAATGCATACATGTATTACTTGTGTATGTTAATAAGTCAATAAGTGGTTCATGGGACTACGGATTGGTGAATATTTACTAATTTTTTTGTTTGTTTTCCCCAGACTTGATTTATTCATTTAAAGTAATAAGAATATAATTATCTCGATCTGCTTTAAATTAATGTTTATTACACGATTTCAGTTTTTCGTTTTCCTTCTGATGTCGGCGTTGTGTTAGTAATCAATCGGCTTTTCACAATTACTAAGCTTTGCACAATTACTAAGCTTAGAAGGGGGCGG